TTTGTTTCCATCTTTGCAGAGTGCAGTGAAGGCTTGCTCACGCTGTCAACATCTCGTAGAATCAGATGCAGTGATTGAAGGCCACGGGAATACTGAACCAGGCCAGGAAGAGGACGACACAAGTCCTAAAAAGGAAGAGCAGAGGAGGGTGGAAAAGGAGAAGGAGTCCCTCGGGGCCGAAGTCAAGGAGCTGGAGCAGGAGTTGGCCAAGACCAAAGTCCATATGGTGGAGTCCAAGTGCAAGATCCAGGTCAGAGCAGACCCTCAAACCATCACACAGCACCTATAAATACACACAAACAAATCTGGTGAATCTAAGCAAGCCAAATCCAGGTCACATCACTACAGTCTACCATGCATGGGCACTTTAATATCTAAAAAAAAATGTGAATTAAACTTCAAGGAACATATTTAATGCCTGAACAAAAAAAACACAAAAAAAAACAAATTGTTCAAACTCAACTCAATAAATAGGGATCAACGTCATCTGTATATTCATTAAGGTTTGCAACAGAAAATACCTTTGTATGCCTGACATCAATGTGACATCAATGTGAGGCATACCCATTTCCAAATAAATACAGAATATAGGGTTAGGGTTAGGCAGAGATTCCTGCAAATATATGATGGACACTTTCATCCCATGTTGGGGCAAGGGAAGTAGTCAGCACAATATTGCTCAATATTACTTTTGGCCATTTCAATACATAAAAACATTTACATCTGTTTTACAGTACTAAAACTGCATGTTGTGTGTCGTTTTTCCTTCACCAAATACAAATAAATGTTTTTGGTCGGTCTAAATAATGCACAATTAAAACAGATTTTAACATTGAGTAATGGATTATTATATAATACTAAAACATAAATTGGAAATTAACTTATTTTATTAAAAGCACTAAAGACAAGACAAAGTAGTGTACCATTATCGAACACATTCAATCAATTTAGTACAATAAAGTGTATTTTGTATTCAAAACTTAAGAGAAATAGAGAGAAATACAAGAAATTAAACAGTATTGTTGCACAAAAATGTATTTGTGATTTTTTTTTTTTGCTGCATTTCTCACATTCTCCTCTTTCGTCCTCGTGCAGGAGCTGGAGCACCAGAAGGGAATCCTGGCCAACGATCTGCAGGAAGCGAAGAACAGCTGGATCAGCAAGGCCTTCACCTCCCTGCGGACCCCCAGCGCAGGGGGGCTTCACAGCATCAGCTTACCCAGAGAAGGAGCTCCCTCAGTGGTGTGGAACCTCCGCAGAGGCTCCCTGTCTGAGTGGAGCGCCAAGAAGCTGTCGTGGCCTCACAGAAACAAACAAGAAAATCTCTAAAAGCTTGGACTGTGAATTTGCAGACTGGAAACAATTGAAGGATCAGACCTCAGAGTATTTATTCACAATGTGATGTGCAATATGTGATCAGTGTGTAGCTGCTGTTGTGTACTATAGGGCAGTGTAAAGCATGAAGGAGTGTCTGAAAGCACATGCAGGTGCATATAGACATTCTCTATATGTGTTGAACACTTTCCAACTACTGAACACACTAGTGCATTTTTTCCTTTGTAAACCAAATGTGCCATGCGAGTTATTTGTACATAATTATTTTCTTTGTAAAACAACATTAAAGCAGGTATGACTTAAGAAAATGTTTGTGTATGACTAAGGAAACCTGACTCATTATTAGAAACACTTCTTTCTCAAATAGCTTTTTCCTGCAATTCACCACAATCGATGTTCCTCTTTCACTTTGACGACGGCTTTATAGTCCTGATACGCCGCTGCTCAAACACACAGAAGGGAGTCGGCAGCAGCAGCAGCAGCACTTCTTTATCTCTGAACTTTGACGTGCAGAATTATATACCTGAGCAGAGCAAAGAAACAACAGAAGAGAGTAGGCGATATCTTGCAAACGCGGGTTCACTGCTCCATTTAGAAAGCTTTTTCACTCAGTAATATTGTTTTCCGCCGGAAGCACTAATGGCTGTGATTGCTGGCAGAGTATGTGTCACTGTGGTTCTGCTCGTGTGTGTTCTTGGAGGCCAAGCACTGGACCTGCTGATGGGGACTACAACATCAGGGAGTGAGTACCAGTAACATATGCCACTTGTTATTTACTTGGTGGTGCTGAAGGTGTGTGTTCGCATGTGCTTTCAACACATGTCATTTAATCAGGAGTCGTAAAACAGAAAACATAATTACCCTTTTGTTGTTACTTTTACTAAGAGCTTTGTTGCTGCTATGTTGCACTGAACATGTATTTTTCTACATGCAGTGAATGGATATAGTCATTTGGTGAGCCTTAATGGGATTTTTTTAATACCTTTTATTACCATATTTCCAACCTGCAACACATTTTATTTATCATTTAATTGCGTTAACCTTTTAAATGACTAACAAACGAACAAAGAAAAGCGGGCAAAGGCGTGCTCTTAAAACACAACCTTAAGAAGGACATAAATAAATAATTTGTTTGCTCATTTTATGACTTTTGTTCTCTCAGATTCTCCCTCCACTCCCAGAGTGCGCTGCCGGTGTGCAAGCTACCCCAACGTGACTCTTTGCTCCTGGCCTGAACCCCCCCATCACCCACCAACTCACTACGTTGCCACCTACAGGTAGATCTCACTGCTCTGCTCCTGTGTGCTGACCTGCACCACTGACACCTTTTAGTAAAACAGACTCCTGTCGTTAAGTGTCGCTAAGGAGCTCATTAATATGTGTGTTAATGTGTTTGCCAGTGAGAGACACAGACAGTCGGTCACCAAGCACTGCCATCTCATCCAACCCGGCTCTTCGTCCTCTGATCTGATTTCTGCATCGTCATCCTCATCTGATCAGGTACCAGCTTTATTTATTTACCTTTGCAGCAGATACACTGAAAAGGGGGTTTCCAAAAGCCTGATTTTAGTCAGAGTGAAACAATCATCCATCAATGATTATAGTAATGTTGATCCAGACACTTTTACTTCCATTTCCTTACTTGTACTTAAGTGTTTTTTGGAAAACCCCTCTCACCTTTCTGTTACACAGAAGCTTTAACTCACTAGTTTCAAGTGTGTCTTGTGAGTCTGAGGTGAACATGATGTCATTAGGGGGGAAATAGTTGGTACTGGTTTCTGGAAATCACGCATTTTTTGTTGTGGGAATTATTTTCAACATCTAAATCCTTTCATGCACGAATCTACTGTATATGTTATCGTATGTTTTTACCATTACATTTTTGATTTTTAAATGATACAAAGATAAGCTGTCAGTGTGCAAAAATTACTAACTTTTTGAAATTGAAACATGAAAATATAGAAATAAATAACAAAACTAAATAATATATAACCTCGTAGATTTATAATCTTGTGTTTTTTATTTATATTTTTTAGCTCTGGCACTGCCACATGCCCAGCCTGAAGCTGCTCACTGACTACATCATCAACGTCACCGCAGTGTATTCTGGGAGGAGCAGCTTCCATCTTTCAAGCTTCATGTTGGAGGATATAGGTGACAACTGACATGATTAATAATCCGATCTAAAAGAGAGTAGAGAGAGTGATGAGTGCACCGTCGTGTGATACTCAATATAGCTTGATGTGCATATTGTGAAGACACTTGTGGTTAATGTCCAAGTCTCGTTCTCTCTGTAGTGAAACCGGACCCCCCTGTAAACGTCACGGTTTCCCCTCGTGACTCCAAACACTTGTTGGTGCAGTGGTCTCCTCCCCCTACCTGGGCTCACATGGACATCTTCCCTCTGAAATACCAGATCAAGTACCAGCGGGAAAGCAGGGGCATCCCACGGTCGTACAATGTAAGAAAAACCATCATCAGCAGTAACAGCAGAAGTGTGAAACTCTACATGATTACACACACATCCACAAGGAAGTTCAATAAGGTTCTTTTAGGTAACCTCAACACGGTTTCAGAAAGTACCTTCATCTGTGGGAATCCTTCTCATTTCAACTAAGCTGTAATGTTTTTGAATGTAAACTGTTTAATAGTGAGGCAATAGCTTTTCAGTAGACATTAAAATAAAGTAATTATTTTAATAGTGTTAAGAACTGTGATTGAACAATGACTTTTGAACAAGAAATGCTAATTAAAACACATTTTTCTCCTTGTTAGAATGATATAGTATACTCAAATAGTCAAGGATTAGTTTCCCTATTTGGGAAAAACACTTATTCATGTTCGTGTTAACTAGTGATTTTCAGAAATGGTCCAATGGTTAAAACCACGTTTTTATTCTTAATGCGTAAGCTAAGTTAACCAAGGCTGTAGCTTCTTATTTAAAGGACAGAGTATTATCTTACCCGATGTATAACTCTCAGCAAATTATTTTGTATCTTAAAGATGTCAAGAATGTAACCAGTTTATTTAAAAAGAGGCATTGTGTCGTATTTTTAAAACACTATGCATTTAACACAGATTATTTTATAGTAATATATCTTTGATTTCCTCCTCCAGCTGGGTCCGATTGAGAGCAACAAGGTGGTGCTGAAGATGAAACCTGGAGCCTACCTGTTCCAGGTGTGTGCCAAAGAGCTGCTCAATCTGGGCGAGTGCAGCGACTGGAGCTCACCTGTAAAGATCACCATACCAAGCACTAGATAATAGAGACTCCTTCTCACTTCCTGTTCTGTTAAACACTCTCCTTTCAAGCTATGAGTGAAGTTAAGCTGACTAACTCTAGACAGGGTGCATCCAATGCAAATTCAAAAGTCATTTATATTTTTGTTTTATTTCTAAATGAATAAATGGACATCATCTGTACGGTGTACAATGAGCATTTCCATTTGAAATGTTAATATATTTATTTTTTATATATATTTGTAATACTGTCGGTTTGAGATGTTTCCCTTTGAACAACTGATACTGTAACACTTTCTGATAATTGGTTAATACGTTTTTACATTCAACTTTTATGCTTTATTTAATATTATTTATTTATATATTTTAGTCCTTACATGACAGCTCCACATTTGTATGAAAAATATAATAAAATCAACGCATTCATATTGAATCCTGTCAGTCGATGACTTGCACCACGAGTGGGGTGACGAACTCTGAGTGTCTGACACCCATAGAGAAGGAGGGGGGTTTAGGGAGGTGCACATGAAACTTTTCCGGGCTGTAAGTGCCGGGGCCGGGGATAGCCGAGGAATAACTGGGTCTCTTAGTCCGTTTCTGCATGGAGAAGGAGGGCTGGCGCTGGTGGTAGATGTCGGGGTTGGTGGTGTCGTATTTGGCCGGTCCGGGGCTCTTGGAGAGGTCTTCAGACGGAGCTCCCACCTTCCTCCGGCCTGAGAAGCTGTAGCTGGCACTCGAGGGTTTATTAGGGACCTGGCTGCCGAGCAGATTAGGGAGTCTGTAGCTGGAGTGAAGGAAAAACAACACATATTAACGTTGTGCTTCAGAGAGTTCTCATTTCAGCTATCTCTGATTTAAATGATAAGGCTTGCAATATTCTGTATCTCAATACCTTCAAAATCTAAAGCTAAGCTAATTCGTTCCTTCTGAAGACGGTCTTTAAAAACAACAGATATTTGGCAACCTTTGCATTGTAATTCTGAGCAGATGTTTCTCAAACAGTGGGGCATTTGTTGTTGACGCATTCTCACTTGCTCCTTAATCACTTTGGGAAACTCTTTAGCAGAATGTTTTAAGGTACAAGGTTATTCCTTCTGTTCTTTGGTGGATGGTGAACATGATCTAGTTTACATGTCTGTTATAAAATAAAGAACCTATAATTTATATAAAATCTGATGTTTAATAAAACATCTACTTCCTCTCTGAGTTTCCCAATGACACAACGCGCTATTATATTATGTGATACAATACAATGTGATACAGTACGATCCGATGCGATACGATACGATACAAATACTTATATCGCGTCACAATAATCTTCATTTGTTTATGGGCTTCCTCCCACATTCTTGTCCTGCCTCTCGAACCATTTTTTGCAACGTACAGGGTAGTCCCATAGACTTCATCACGGGGGTTACGTTAAACTACTTCTCCTGACCTTCTCCTTTACTTCCACCATCATTTCTACCAACAGACGCTAGAGGGACTTGTGGAGAGTTAACACCATAGTTTACAGGGACAATATATGTGAGATTGACTCAAAATAAACTACCATGCCCATGAGTTCTTTAGCACAGAGAACCAAAATCATGTCCCACCCCCAGCCTTTCCTCAAATGCCTGTGTCCTGCTGTCTTCACCTGTTGGGTGCCGGGACAGGATCCACAGAGCGGTATCTGGTGCGAGAGCCGATGGTGAATGAGGGGGGTCTGTGAGAGTTGAGAGGGGGAGCCTTCTCTGGGCTGTAGGCCCCCGGCCCCGGAGTCTGAAACACCTCTCCTTTAAACAGGAATAAAAGTCAGTTTGGAAAAATTTCCTCTAATTGTTGAGTTTATTTTAATTATAGTGTCCATAGAAATCACAACATTCCATAATCCTGGTATGATGTTTGAAAGAAAAATACCTAATTTACATGATTACACACGTAACAAATGAAACTACTTTCTGGACGATTTACCCATGTTCAAATGCATATATGGAGCTGTACATGTCCATACAGACTAAACCATTGTTCATGGGAAAAGGTTTTCTTGAGGAATGTTTGTGTGAATTCTGGATGTTGAAAAGGTGATGCCACACTGACTTACTGGCTAAAATGTTTAAGAAGATGATGAACAGGTAAGAGATAAGATAAGATAATACTTTATTGATCCCAATTTGGGAAATGTTTGCGTTGCAGCAGCATAAAAAGACATGGCATTGTACAATAAAAATTCAAGACAAGAAATAAACAAGAACGTAGAAAATATTCATGTTGAATATATATGTTCTACTTTCTTGTTTATTTCTAGGTAGGAAAAGTTAGACAAATTGAAGTGCGTTTGATTAGTGGGAATGTCATGAATAGTTGAATAATTGCTAACATCAACCTAGACAAACACAAACAAAATGTTTTCTTCTCTCACCTTTACTATCCCCTGTGCTCCGTCCCCTGCCAAGCATGGAGTAGGACGGGGTTTCCATCCGGCCAAAGCGGGTTAACTTGGCGTCAATGTGGTACCTCGGTCCTGGGCTGGAGTCCACAGAGATCACTACAGGAAACAGATTGCACTTAAGGTCATCCAAAGTCTTATTTAGTCCTCATCACATTAAGAAAAAACGATTCCAGACAGGTATTAAGCATAGAAAAAAAAGAGACATTAAGGATCCATGGGAGTAAAAACGAGTGCACTTCAGAGCAATATGACAGAAAATGAATATCTAACAACTCACTGGCGCTGCTCATGCGGCTGTGAAAGGAGTATGCAGGGCTGCTGGGCTTGGTGAAGTCATGGTTGATGTATCCCACCATCGGGGGCAGAGCGTAGCGTCCAGGACCCGGGCCTGAAGGAGAGAGGAGGAGGAGGAGGAGGAGGAGGAGGACCGTGATGAAACTGATGCAACAGACCCAGCTCTGTGCAGCAGTATGGCACCCCCACCGCTCTTTTGGCTCGGTCTGAATTGTCTCTGATGATTTCCATATGGAGTTCTTTCTCTTATTTTCTATGGTCATGCTTTTTAAAGTTCTTCCTCCGCATGTTTGGGAATGATTTCTAAACAAAGTAGACACCTCAAACAAGTATGGAGCAACGGCTGTATAACGCTGTGAGAGAATTCAGAGCAAAAACCAGCTCAGCTTTAATGTAATCCATGTGGATGTACACACACACACACACACACACACACACACACACACACACACACACACACACACACACACACACACACACACACACACACACACACACACACACACACACACACACACACACACACACACACTGACCTCTTTCTCTTGCAGAGATTATCGGACGTTTCTTCACTTCCTGCATGCTCTGACAGCCTCTTTATTCCTTCTTCTTCTCCTTCTCCTTCTCCTTCTTCTTCTTCTCCTGTTCTTCTTTGTCCCCTTGTCTTCCTCGTTGGTTCCTCTGTCACTTCAGGCACTTCCTTTTCTGCCTATCTCTCTTCTTCGGGTGATTTGCGGCCTCCTGGGCTGAATTATACATGACTGTGAGGTGAAAGAAACCCTACCTTGATCGAAGCCCTGGTTACACCCAAACTGCTCTCCACCTCCTTTCCCCCTCGTTCCCCTCAGGACAAAATGTTTACACAACCAGGGCCAAAAGTGGACTTTGTCAAGGCCTAAAGAGGAGAAATAGCCATCTTTAACAATTAATGTAAAGCTCAATTCAGAGTTAAAATGCTCCGTTTAAAGTCTTAAAGCACTGCATCGACAGTCATGTCAGCCACATGTAATGAAGTTCATTTGTCATCCCATTATGAGCATTAGGTTACTAGCTGACCCGCAGTAAGTGTGGTGAACCGCTCAGCTACAATATGTATGCTGTAACTAATAGCATCTCCCTGCACATGCTATTAAAAATGAAAGGACTTGTTCTGATCTTGTGTTTCAGGAGGATATTTAACAAGCTCAACGCTGCTGTAATGTAAACCATGCACTGGTGATTATTACGATTTGGACAGCTTTTTTGCAGTTACATTTATTTTAGATCAGTGCAAAATCTCTAAAAGATGTATTGCCTGCCAAAGAAGCTGGTAAATGTAGTCCCTGCATGCCAAATGGCTTTTTCCAGGGAGGAAAACAAACAAGCTTTTTAGTATTGAATTATCTCTAGGAATGTTTGTGCCTATTCTCTTCTATTGGCTGATTAATCAGGCAGAGCTCAAAGCCAACATTTATCAGCACTAAGTACATCTACTTTTCTCTTCAATATTACTTCATATATACATTCCAGGACTTTAATTCAGAGGCAAAGAGGGTTTTCAGGTGATTAAATAATGTAAACAACTCTTGAGGCACTGGATAGGCAACAATTAAGAGATACATACAGAGAAATACAGAGAGAGGACTGCTGCATAATGCCAAAAAGCACTTTCATATATTTATTACAAGCGGAAAATATAAAAGCCTTTTTATTGCTTTAAGTATTTTAATACAAAAACAGAAATACGATATGGACTAACTAAACAAATAACACTTGTTTTCATAAATTATGAGAAAGTATGAGCCTGCCATTTTTCTGCAAAGTTTGACTTTTGATATGTTAATGATATTATCTGATCATTCTTCTGTAGTTTTACTTAGTATAATTTAAATTGCAGAACCTTGTTAGACTAATACTAATATGTGTTTGATCTGTTGAATATGATTGATAATGTATATGCGTACTTCTTTTAAATCCATTAAAGGTCTCAGCCATGCCCTTGAAAATAGAGTAAAAATCTAGCATTCAAACTAAAAGACATTCATTCAAAAGCCTACATTTCTGTGGCTATGAGTTTTGGACCTAAAAAGGATTTTGCAGCAGAAAGGAAGATGATTGACAAATAGCAGCATCTGAAAAGTGTCAACTGTGGCAGAAAAGCCCTGTGGAGAAATAACTTTCGGCAAATACAGAGATGTTTGCTTTCCGGCATGAGAAACCCACTTACTCTCCCATACTACTAATTCTTCCCCTGAACACAGAGGTAACTAAAGCCTTTAGAGCAGAGCAGTGCCCAAGTTAAACCTGCACTGGTTAAATATTCAGCACCAGTGACTCTCACAGGCTCGGTAATAAGACTCTTCTGTGTCACCAGCAGGAGATGAACACTGACAGGAAACACAACCGCTGTCTTAGGTTTCCCCAGTAAACAGTGAGACTGTGTAGCAAACATCATCCCATCATTGTTGTGGGACTGGTTTGAGATGCAGCCTGGATTCATTAGGGGAGGTATTTGTCATGGATGTCAGCTTTTTGTTGCCCTCTCCAAGGTTTTCATTCCTGGTTGTCTGTTGTTCTTGTTGTTGTTAGCAGGAGAGCATTCACAGTCCAATGAAAATATTTGGAAAGTTTGTTTTGCATCAAAGAATAACTATATATTTAGGAGCAGATAGCTCCACCATGTGGTCAGCAGTTTTATGTTTGTGCTCCTTTATGGTAATAAGGTGTTGAAGCTTTTTTTACCCATTTCCACCTACGCACATGTTCACACGTTTTGCAACTCTATGAAATTAAATTGCAACCCCTTTTCCATTGTTCTAAGCCTGCTAAATAATGGTAAGCTTGGACATGATTCATTAACACATGTGGTACATGATACCATTTTGAAATGGCTCATACAGGACCTTTCATTCAATGTGATCACAATTTGATTAATCCGACCCATTTAAAATATTGCACAATATATCCCTAAAGAATTTGGCATTTTAGATAAGTAAGTAAGGATTTCTGACAAAACTCACCCTACTTCCTTATAATGTGCTCTGAAGTAGATCTGGTTCCAGACACAGTTTAAATACTTCTAAACATTTAAGTCACAAATTAAAGGGTGTCCCTTTGTCTTCGGGGTTAAGATGGTGGATGTAGAATCCATAGATAAAGAGTTATTCATAAATAATGTAGAAAATTACTGACTATATGTTGCATATTTTTCTTTAAGGAGCAACTGATCTAAGTCCCCAGGTTCTTTTAGCATTTTGCTTATTTAGAGGGTGGAATGAAGAGAAAATGTAATGAATTCATCTTCCTTTTGTCTTATAGATCGCTGTTACAGAAATCTGACTGAAATCCCTGCAGCAGTAAAAATGTCCTTTTGGAGCAATGGGAACATACGGGTATTAAATATATATCCATACAGCAGGAGCAGAGGTGCGTGTATCATTGTGTCGCTTTAGTGTGCACACAACTCATTTCCAAACCGTGTGTTTCTGTCAACATTTTTATAGAACAACAGTAGGAAATCGAAAACAACTTCAGTCATTGATATTTTTTTTTACTAACTAAGCATAACTTAAGACATAAAACATAACTTTATACAGTTTTAAATATGCTGGTACAATTCAGTACAAAAATAAAGGCAGTAAAACGTCTCCATACAAAAACACCATCAGTCACACTGTTGCTCTGAAAAACACATGAATGCTGGGTGAACCAGTTTGGCACTTATAAAGCATGGTTTAGAAATACTGAATGATAATGTGTTGCTTTTGACCACGGTGAACGCTCTGATTTGCAGAATCCACAGACGCTGAACAGCCACTAGATGGTGCTTTGGATCCGCAGGTGAAGTAAAACAAAAAAGGTCAGAATACTTGTAGTTGTTTGGACAACACTTGTAGTTTGTTTGAATCTGTTTTGATAACCTTTGTGCACATTTAGAGCAGATATGCGGCAAACATCTTTAGGGATGTGTGAGTTTTCCTGTTGCGTGGTCCTTTGAGAAAGCAGAGTAGTCCACATGGTGTCTTGCTAATGATGAAACCAAGATGTCCGTAACAAGTCCACATTTTCAGACAAAAAAAGTGCTCATGTTGACTGGAAAAGATGAAATAAAGAAGAAAATCCCAGTTTTTTCATTTGGTGTCCTCTCCTAGCTGTTAGTTGCACAAAATGTCCAGAGCAAATGTCTTATAATTCCCATATACGAATACAATCTCTCTTCCTCACACACACATAGACAAAAACACACTCGCTCAGTTTGTTCCTTATTTTTCTGCCCGTAAAAGGCAGCCTGTGCTAGGATTTATCCCCTTGGAGAACCTAAATTAAGAAGACACAATCTGTTACAAGTCAGCCTTTTTAAAATACAAAACAGTTTTTTACTTCTGAGGATCCATTAAGTGATGCTTACCTACCTGGTTGCGAGTTTTGTGGGATTTCTGCATCAGCACTCTCCACTGGTCGTACAGCTTCATGGACATGCTGCTGCAGCCGTAGGCGTGTTTCCGCACCCAGCCGAAGAACTGCTTCAGCTCCCGGCGCAGGGTGGAGTTTGAGTCCCCGCTGGACTTTGAGTCACATGAGCCCGACATCAACCGCTCTGCATGAAGGGAATAAAAGGAAGGAGAGAGAGACTTTAGTTCGATTGGCTTTGGTGTTCGGTGATGACATTTCTCACAGAGCAGCAGGGTTGATATTGCGGATCTACATTCCACTACGGCAGAGTCGTAGAAAAGACAGGCAAACATGAACATTAAAGGATAGAAAGCAAAGGAGAAGATTGAGAAATAGCTCCAGCTGTGTAGAGTTCTGTATGTTCTGTTTGTACTGGTGATACGTACACCAAGAGCCATGAACAGTTCAGGCAACGACTGCACACAAACATAGAAGACCTCTCATCTAAATCTGGTACTTTTGCCAAGGCTCATGGGAAGTTCTCGTAAATCCGTAAGTGCTTTAATACCCATGCTCTGTTTTCATAGTCATGGCCCTAGTTCCTTACAGTTGTGATAACAGCAGCAGGTAGCCACGGTGAACAGCAGGACTTCAATCGTGTTCGGGGTTGATCTTTGAATTAGTTCTTTGTATAACTTTAGTGTTGCAACTACAAAGTTACACAATTAAAGTCTGGATTGACTTTGTAATGTTTTGTTTGGCGATAATGTAATTTCTTTTGGTTAGGATTTTTAAATCTGATTTTACTGATGCATCTGCCACGAATAAAACTGCCAATACAGAAGAAAAAAAGCTGGAACAAAGGTAAGGAAATATAAAACAGCACCATCTTCGTAATTGAAATGTACTTAATTCTCACAAAAACTGAGATCAAGAACAAGAAAACACAGTGTGAGACCTGTGAGTGTGTGTGTTTCAGTGTGTGCTCACCGCTGTGGGGTGTGGATGCAGCAGTAGGATGGCTCCACTCGCTCCAGATCCCAGCTTTGCGAGAACCGTAGATTCCCACGGGATTACAGCGAACCTGGAGAAGATACAACATTATTAAAACTGACTAAATCTCAAGTACACACACACACAGAGAATCAGACCACATCGTACCTGGACAAAATACACAGTTCCAGGTCTCAGTCCAGCCAATCTACAAGATG